CAAACACCGAAACATCTCTCTATGCAATTTCGTGTACGAATCTGCGACTCGTTATACAACGTTTCTGCACGAGTACTGGAATGTAAAAGCGGGGTCATCATATATTTGTTGACACTGTATCCACTGTCGCCCAGTAAAAAACATACCCGATGCATAGAAGCGTAATGCCAATAATAACATTTCGGCAGGACTAAGCGGGCAGTTCCTGTCGAACCAATTTAATCAATAATAGAATTTAAAGCTCCCACCACATTTTTACAAAACTTTCCGAACGACTTCCGATTTTTCCCTCTATTTTTGTCAAAACGTATAAAAAACTATCCTTAGATAGACGAAATCTTCTATTGAATGTGTTTTCATAATATTTTCTAAAAAATTCAATTCTTTTCCCATGCGTTCTTCGCTTCGAACACGACTCCGACTTAATTGGGATAATAAATAATGCTGCGCTAAATTTTTCATTAAAAAATTAGAAAATCGCAAAATTATGTATATCAGTACAAAAATTTATTTATTTATCGCTGTCAACTGTCAGTTTCGGTTCTAGTTAGCAGTTAACTGGCAGCCGAAGCTCCAGTAAACTTAACTCAAACTTATTTGACAGATGGACGCTAACCACACATGGAGAAAACGAAAATTTAGCTAACTCTAGGTTAAGTGCCTAACTGGATGGTTCAAACGGCCCTAAGTGCACAAGTAAGAATTACATAAATCAAATATTGTTAAACTTATTATATATTTAGTTTGAATTAGTTTTCAGTTTAGGTCTACGAATAAGGGATTTGAATTTAATGAACCGTGAAGCTGTGATTTTTTTTAGTATATAGTAGTAGTTTAAATTAGTGCGGCTAATATTGTTATTTTCGAATGAATAAAATATTCCAATGAAGAGAAGTTGAAAATATATAAGAATGAGTTGCTAAGATAATTGGTTTGGTATGGGTGTTGCACTAGTGCAATAGAGGGGATATGGGTGTTGCTGACTTCAGACTGCGGACAGGGACATGACTGATAAAATGGCATACGGAAAAGGGGACTCTGCGATTTGTTGCAGCCACGGCTGGTAGAAACGACCCACCCATCCGACGAGCTTAGCCTGGGCTCGCCACCATGCCTTCATACCACCTCGCTTTATCCCAACAGCCAGTTACGTAACATTTCACAAGATTGTTGTACGGGATTTATAACACAGAAATATTGCAATTACATAAACAATTGTATGCAAATGTTTTAATTAATACATCACAAATGTACAAAAGGTAATAAATACGCGTTAAGCCATGTTCATTTTCTCCATTTATTTGCGTGAAATGCATCAAAAGAAAATACGAAAAGTGCAAGTGTTTTTTGCAAATAACTCTTTAATGAATTAAAAAGTAATTTCCGTTCTCGGACTACGGGTTGACTTCTCGAGAGTGCACCACCTCTGCAACAAAATGACTCTTTGGTGCTTGTAGAGGGGGTCGAACACATCACAAAACTGTGAGGAAAGTCATGGTATATAAGTATTTTGTTGTTAAAGTTGCAAAATTCATCGAATAACTTTGATGATATGAAACAATTTTAAACAAGTTTAAGTACACAAAACACACACATTTCACTTATCTAAAGCTATTTGACGTGGGACGATGGCCCAAGCAGCCAGTTCCCTTAGCGTTAAGTTAATTGTAAATTTATTTACACTTAATATTTAATAAATAAATAAATAAATACTAAAAAAGTTTATAAATTTATTTAGTTCCAACGGAGAACCGAAGTGTTATGTATGTATATGTCTACAATGTACTCGACCTCTATATCCCCAATAAGTGTTCTGCATGTGGAAACTCCCCACACGACATCAGCTTCACATGCCAGCTAATACCGACTCAACTGACACACCTCTCCCTTTGGACCGACCTTATTGAAACAGTTGCGCTTGACGACAATGATTGAAGATTGACCCGAAATAGCCAGGGCTTAGTTGTGCCGCTACAACAACAACAACAACAAAATGGCAGAAGGTTCTAGAGTTGTCATGCGTGCGTGCGCAGGTATACAAGGCCGCTGTTACAGCACAAGTCAGTCAGTTGCGATTCAGCAAGCTATAAGTTCAGTTCACAGTACACCAGTAGACATTTTTTTTGTTGTTGTGGCTGTTGTTTTTTCCCACTTGACTACGAATTTATAAATTCTGTGATAGTTTGTTAATTTAGTTAATTAAACTCATTTATTTATTTATTTACATATATTTATTTATTTTTCTTTTCATTTATTTACTCTTATTTATTTCTTTGACTTGCATGACGACTTGTATAGATACCAGAGAGCAGAATGAATATACTCATTTCAACGTAGGCTTTGTAAACTCAATGCTGTTCACTCAAAACAGCTAGTGGGAAACTTTGCTTTAGCAGTGATTCTCATGTCAATTCTCTCACTAATGCTTAGGTGCTTTGCACTCATTTGCTTTCAAGTACTTCATTGACATGCCCTTTTTAAGTCAAATCATTTGAATGAAAAACTCGTTTATGCCAAACGAATCGAGCACTCGAATGATATTGATTGGAAACGGGTTATATCAAGAAAATAAAGGCACGCAGCTTCGAAAATGGATAAGAAAGTTGTAAGTGTTTATATTTTTGAATTGCTCGTAAATGTTATTACTTACATTTACTCAAGAGGCAAGTAATGATACTATGTGCAGTGATGGATCGAGCGCTACCCAGAGCAATCTTTTGCACCAGAATGCTATAAGAAACAATATTTTGAATGGTAACTTCAAAATTAGCGAAAAAAGGGGCCGCAGTAAAGTTTGGAACACATTTGGGTATGTTAAAGATGACACTGGTAAAGAAATTCCCATGATACAAAAAAGAAGGTAGTTTCAATAAACAACTTTTTGATTAAAAATCAGATTTTTGACAATTTCTCAATTGTAAAAAAATCGAAGCGGCGTTACCCAATTGTAAGTTTTTTGGTGTGGGAGATTTTATATCCTAAATTTGAGATTATAAAGAAAATAGTTGTATTAATATATACCTTTTAAAAATAATCAATATCTTGTCTTAAAAACGTTTAAATTTTACATTACATTCGATAACAACTTGCCAAATCATTATTTTAATATTAATACAATTTTAGTGAACATATTTTAACATTTTTTTAGTGTCCTCATGTCATCTCATTATTTCACAATGTAGTTTTCTATATCGGATACGATGATTTTGATGTAATTCAGACACTGAAATTACACATTTCGATGTGTTATTTAATACATATTGTCTTTGTCCATTTACCAGCAAATGGAATTTACTTTAGGACCCATGGGCCTAAAATTTTTCCAGCAACACATATTGTTTTCACATGAAATTTTGACACACCCAAAATTGAAGTATAAAATAAAAAGATACAAATAAATTTTCAATCAAACTGATTTGTGTAGTCCAGGGGCGTCTTTAGTAAATGTTTGGAGGCTGTTTTAATATATCCAATCTTATTATATATTTCTTAGCTTTTCTACATTCTGAGAAGTTGAGAGAATGAAGTCTAATATTCTTTTTGGGTCAACTATGATGTTTGATTTCATTTTTTGCAATCATAAGTTCATTTCGCTTGAGGAGTCGCAATGCTCATACCGGCCGTACCGATTTTTTGGAAATTTCGGACACAAATTTTCCAAGAATGGTTATAGGCTAAAACAAACCCGATATCTAAAGGGCGTGTGGAACCTCCCATACAAATCGAATTTTTCATAGTGCATATCTCTGGAACTATTTGTGGTAGAGTCCTGGAACTTTGTATGGATATATTTATGGATTTATTGGAAAATGCGGCGTGCCACCGTAGAACTTGGAATAGAGGTAAATGAAATCAATCCCAAACCTATGAAAAATGGGGGTATATGAAAACGATCTCGAACCCATTGAAAGCTAGCGGTATAAACCAAATAAACTAAAATTCTTGTGACGCATAGATACCTCTGGAAGCATTTATTTTTCCAACGGAAATGTGTACAGGAAAACGGGCGCGACACCTTCTGGAAAGTAACATGATCACCGGGTGTATCCCGAGAACCATTTTAAGCTAAACCTTCAGGGATTACATTCTCGCCAAGACCGATAGGCATAAGCTGAAATTGTGTCGCAAGTTTTATGATCGGCTTAGGTAAGGTTTAACCACTTAACCCCCCTTTGTTTTCGTCGCTACTGAATTCTATAAACTGTCAGCTTTCACACAATTTAAAATGTACATGTAAGAACAAAATATTTTTAAATCGACAAAAAATTAATAAGAAAACTTGAAGGATTTTAGATATTGGGTATGGTAGCACGAAATGTCACAATCTGCTTAATTGTCGGGTTGTTAATATGGCGACGAAAAAGTGACAATGGAACTACCTTGTTTTTTGTATCATGGAAATTCCCAACTTGGTGGCGTGGCGCGTTTGCTGTGGAGTTTATAAACACAACAGCAAATCAATTACCAATCTTATTCGACATAAA